CGCGCCGTTGCACTGTACGCATAGGATGCGAATGCAGGAGAAACGCTATGCCTGGGCAGATTTTTGTGTGCAACACGGAATGTCATGCTGGGAACGGCCCTGGGTGCGGAATGAAGGTATAAACGGGATCTACCCGCTTTGTATATGTATCTGATGTGTAACTTAGTACAAAATAGAACCCCGGGAGAAGTCTATTGAGATAGTAAAACAAGGGCATATGGGATATGGTTAGGTCTATCTCTATGTGTTCCCACTAGATTGGCTCAAGCTGACACACTCTGTAGGCGTGCGAGTCAAAAAACTCATCAAAAGAGGCCAGAGTATCGGGGTATACTCAGGGGAGCTTCTGACAGGATATGAGGTCCAAGAGAGACTTGGGTACTGATGAAGTGCTGGATTCAGCCAGAGAGCCAAAAGCTAATGATTGTGATAGGTTGATACACATAGATCGCCCAAGATCTTTAGGCGTATCAGCCTATCTCAACACTGCCAAATGGCTGGCCACTCGAGATCGAGAGGCGCATCGGTCCTCCGAAGTCCAAAGGAATGAAGGAGATCCTGTCATGTTTGAGGTAGACGAGATTCTTGCTTCGCGTAGTCATCGCGATAAGCGATATCTTTTGGTGCACTGGAAGAATCACGCAGTTCCAACCTGGGTCCCAGAGGGAGAACTTGTACACAGTCTGACTTTCCCAGATTGGCATCCGACGGACCTTGAGGACAGCGCAGTACACGACCTAATCGGTCCCTCTTCGTACATCATGTATGCTGGCGACCTCCAACGCATTCTATGCGGTGATCTTTGCGATGATCACCCCGCGCACAAGCGTGACGAAGAGAACAGGCTATATATTGACCAGTCTGAAAAAGGAAATGTATGCTTCTGATTTAGTCTACACGTTAGACACAGTGATACTGACATATTTCAAGTATACCAGATATATCGTAGGTTGGACGATCTATACTGTTGATATCCTGAATGGTGACATCCTACAGAATCACTCATGCAGTCCTAATACACGCATAGAGTCTGCTAGACTAGGAAGCAGCAAACATGCTCTGCCAGTTCCTTTGCTGATCGCCAATCAAGACATCTTGCCAGGAGAGTTTGTATCAATATCGTACTGGCACTGCGAAGTGTTATCCAAGGTATGTCACCGCGGTAGAAATGGAACATATAGATACTCATTTTCTGAAGGAACAACGGCAGCAGTTGGCAAGGTCTAAGTCTGCCTTACATGACCGCAACAAAAGCTGTCACTGTAGATCAGAGTCATGCACTGGCTGGATATCTTTGCCATCAGCAGGAGTACTCAAGAAGGCAGGCATTCCAGAAGATGTTATTTCTAGGCTGTGGGACAGAGCATATACACAAGCAGCGCACACTGTTGATTAATATCTTGCTATTGAACATGTTCTTGCCATTACGTGTTGTGTACGACGGCGGCTCCCTAAGAAAGACTGACAAAGTGTGAATAGCACTATGTAAGATTGGCCTGATAGATCGTGAATGTACCATATTTTGCTAGTGTATCAGGCTAACTCTAAGCTATGCTTTAATACATCAGGACACAAGTAACTGCATCTACATGTCATGCATCAAGCCAGAGGGCATGGTAGTATGCAGACCCGATGTTTCTCGACCTCACTCAAAGCTCTCCAAAGTAAGCATCCCATATCCCAGCCTCCTTCATCCTACAATCATCGCAGAGACGGCTGCCCAAAGTACCATCACCGGAATTTCGGGAAGTGGTGCTGTGACTGCAGTGGAATCCATGCGCTGGACCCCTATCCCCAGTCTTAGCAGAGACCAGTGCAATAAGACTATTGAGTGAGGTTACACGGATGGGCTTGCAGATGACGTTCTGACCGCAGATTGACATGGGACATTTGTAGCTGGGACGTGGACTTGCGTTTACTGTAGCCATCTCATTTTGCACGGTCTGAGAAAACCGCTCGATGTAAGACGGTGGGAGTGCTGGTGGCGCGGGATAGCAGCGATATCCAGGGTTGCTTGCGCAGTGGTCTTCATACGCAGTCTTGAAGGCTGTGAGGAGACATGATTGGCACAACATGTGACCGCACGGAGCGCTAGAAAGTGTGAGAGCTATGAACGGTGCGCTCAGCGAATTGTAAGGACGCACATTATCCAAGCACTTCGGAGTAGTTTCTGACAGCAGGGGCAAGTCACCGCCGGCAGCAAATCTTTGATTTTGACAGTCTATCCAAACAGTGAGACGTTGCTTCATATGAGTAGTCAATACCGCACCTTCATATTTTCCCCCTCCCAACTTCTCTTGCGCTTAGGCTTGCGCTTGAGCAGATCGCCTTCTCCTGCCAAACCAGTGTCTGCGTGACACAACTCTGGCATTTCCGTCGCTGCGCTTCTGCTGATAGAAGAAGCCTGTACTTCAAGAGGGTCGTTTGAGGTTGACACAGTCGGCGCGAGCGCGCCCAAGTCGCGCGCTGCCCAACTGTCTTTCGCATGACCAGAGGAGTCCAGAAAGACCATGAAGAAGAAAGAAGAGTCTGTGGTTATGCTGATTA